TTTTGCAATCAAAATTTATTTCATTTCATTTTGTTCTGAAAATCATCTATAAAGTCAGAAGGGCATTGTTAGGATAGATTTTTGTCCAACATAAAGTTCAAATTTAGTAACCAAAAATCCTATCTCAAGATTAGAGTTCTTTCCACTATGCACATACAGAGTTGTACTTTTCACTTGACAAGCATGCTTAAGGAACTGGACTGAGTACTTACAGTGAGGGCGGTGTCTTAGCCCCACCTTTGTTATCCTCCACTATCCACCCACTGTGCAATCCTAAGCAAACCATAACTTCAAGTTTCTTCAGTGGTATTTTTTTCTTTTTTTAAATTTTAAAACAAAAAGCTCAGGACTGAAAGTGTCTTTTTACAAATATAACAGAATTTAAATTATTTGTGAAAAAGGTCAGATTTTTAGTGGTAAAAGATTAAAAAAGGTCACTAAGAACCTAGTTTAATTGATCTTTCCGCTACTTCTTACAAAGCAGCGGAAAGATCTTTGAAAACTGCAACCCACTTTGTCAGTGTTATCTAAGATTTCATTATCAAATCAAACCCTTATGTCCCAAGGCATTCCCTGTACTGCTCTTACAGGAATTTAGGGTAGGACTAGATTATCAATTTCTCAAAGAATAAATAAATTTCTGTATGTGAAAGGTAATAGGACTATACTAATGAGATTACACCAAGACTAATTATTGTGAACACTGGCTCTAGCCTTCAAGACCCGCAATTGGAGACGTTCTTTTGTTTTTTGAGTCAAGGTTATGTAGCTACTTGAACTCATTATGTAGCCTCGGTTGGTTTCAAACATTTCATCTTTCTACCTTAGCCTGTGGTGTGCTGGAATTACAAACATGAGCCACCAGAACTGGCTTTTGTCGCCCCTCAGAGACTTCAAGGCTTCAGGGAACCAGTGGTGGGGCCAGCAGGGTCATTCACCTTCTTAAAGGCCTGGGCCTTACTGCTATCTCTGGGCTCAGCCCCTCCCCCCACAACCTCTGGTTCAGACTTCCTATGGTTCCACCAGGGTCTCACTAAATTAGCTGTCTGGGATTAGGAGTACCAGAATGAGAGTGACTTTCTGTGTAAGCAAGTGACTCCTGGTGATTTATTGAGTATAATAAGGAACTTTTACTTGGCCAATTATTCTGCCTCTTACACATACTTCTTAGTCCTGCTCCTGCTCCTCTGTGGTACATATTTCTTGTTCAAACTAGTTTCAAAATTACAAATTCTTAAACATTAAGGATAAAAGTGACTCCTTGATACGGAAGAGTGAAAATGCCCCATGTGACACCTTAAACATTCAAAGAATTCAAAGAATCTGAACCAAATAGGAAGCAGGAAAGGAACTTTGTGCGGCCTAATTCCTTTCTTTTACAGCCAAGGAACCAGATTCCCCACTGGAGTGAAGTGACAGTACAGGAAGTGCCGGCATTCTCCTCTGGCTGCTCTTTGCACAACACTTTCATACTCTCCCACTTAGAAAAAGATTTATGCAGACATTATTTTATATCCTACAGCACACTTTTTTTATTTGTGCATAAAGAATCTACACTCAGAACTGACAGTCTGGATTCCTAAAGATTTTCTATAAAGAAAAATCCTTCAAATGTTTCAGAGATTATTTGCTGATTCCCCTTCCTCAGGTTCCTTATGTTTTCAGTCACAGCGTTTCAGTCTCAGGCTGATGAAACCAGTACCCAAGGAAGAGCACATGAAACGGCCTAGAGAACTCAAGGTCACTGGAGGCATATCCTCTGCACCAAAATGTTAAGTTTAACCCATCACTGAACCGCACGCGCGCGCGCGTGCATGTGTGTGTGTGTGTGTGTGTGTGTGTGTGTGTGTGTGTATGATCTACCAATTGATAATATATATTTAGCCACAATCACCATTTGACATTTGGTGCTTTTCCTAAAATAAAAGTAACAAGAAATGTCCTTTCACAACTAAGTATTTCGGTCAATAGAAAACACACATGCATGGGTACACATGTGATGATTCATAGTACATTTCAGAGACAAAAGGAAGCTTCAATCGAATGACATTCCAATCCTCACATCTTAAAGTATTAACTCTTAGATAAAATTTTTTTCTACCTGCATAGGGGTGTTTTGCCTCCATGTATATCAGTGCACTAAGTGCATGCAATGCTTGCAGAGTCAGAAAAGGGTGTTGGATCTCCTGGGACTGGAGCTACACACAGTAGCAAGCTGCAATGTGGGTGCTGACACTAACACCTGAATCCTCTGGAAGAACAGGAAGTGCTCTTGACTGCTGTGCCATCTCTGCAGCACCTCCACCTCCTTGTTTGAGACAGGATTTCACTGTGGAGCTATGACTAGCATAGAACTTAAGATACCCTAAAACTCCTGGGTACAATTTGCTGGATGTGGTGGTACATGCCTTTAATCCTTGCACTCAGGAGTTTTAGCCACCACATCTAGCAAATTATTAACTACTTTACAACCATTTTTTACTAAGTAATCTACACATCATGACATTCTAAAAATTAGCCTACAGTAAATTTTAAAGATTTATTTATTTACTTTTATGTGTATTTATTTACTTTTATGAGTGCTGGCGTGCATGCGTGTGTGTGTGTGTGTGTGTGTGTGTGTGTGTGTGTGTGTATGTATCACATTTATGCCTGATGTGGCCAGAAGAGGCTGTCAGATGCTTTGAACTGGAGTTATACATAAACCTCCCAAGTGGATGTTGGGCTTCCTGAGTCCACTGCAAGAATAGCACATTCTCTTAACCATTAAGCTCCAGCCCCACTATATTTATTTTAAATATTCTAATTTCCTTTAAATTCTTCTTGGAAACAAGAGAATAAATGAATAATTATACTTGATTTGTTAAGTTGATCTGTGACAGGCTGGTAGGAGGTAAGTGAAAAACAGGAAGACTAGAAATAAGGAGATAAAACATAATATTCATATAGGTAAAAATGCCTGAGTATATTTAAAACTGTGGCAGTGGAATGAAGGGACAATTCAAAATTGATACTACTAGCAAAAGCAGAAAGCATGAAAAAGTACTGAAAAAGAATGGGTTGGCTGGAGAAATGGCTCACATGGTTAGCATGTCAGTCAGGTGTGCAAGAAGGTTGTGGCTGTGCCTATTAACTCCAGAGTTGTGCAGTCCAGAGACAGGAAGAAACGAGGGATGGCTATCTATCTGCAAGGCTAACTCCAGGTTCAGTGAGAGACCTTGTCTCAAAGAGAAAGGAATAGTGAAGTGAGTGACAGGGCAGGGCACCAATATCCTGGTTTCTTGGTAAATTTAGATTCTGAAGATTGATAATCCAGCCATCAGCAAACACTTCAGTTTTTACAAGGGTAAAGATTTATACCAGGATACTGGAATACAAACATATATTATTGATAATAATAAAAAGCCTAATTGACAGTGGATATCCATTTTAAATATCAATTATAAAAAGATGAAAAAACTGTAAGTGAACAGTTAAGTGAATAACAGTCAAGAAACAGGAATAATATGTGGAAGGATGTTCCAGTATAGGACTAACATATTCTCATACTTTAACTGAGAAAGTATCATTTTTCAAAATGAAAGTAAAAGTGGATAGTTCCAGGACATACAGCTGTATATGTTATGTAAAAATGACAATAAGGAAACTTAAAAGTAGATCACTCAGATTTTATATTTTTTCTTAAATAACTATTAACAAAAATTTTTTCCCAGTTGAGAAGAAAATGTTATTAACTGCTCCTTTGTTCATTACTGCACTCAGAGTTCCTTTCTGCCTTCTAATGTGAACATGTATGTATCTGATTTCCACACCAAAAACAAAACAAAAAATTTAGACCCTCAATCTCTACTGGATGTAAGTAATACTCTATTAACCGATCGTAGATGAATTCCTAGTCAAAACAATCAAACAGACTACAATTCACCATCAAAAGCTGTTGAGCATTAGAGTAATCTGAATTAAAAGATACAGAACATGTGACTACACTTTAATATTTAAACTAAGACATGTGTAGAGAAACTTGCTCTTAAATGCCTTAACTGACCACAAATGAAGAGTTTCAGCTTCAACAAAACCAAATTTAGAAATTAAAGTAAGATTTGAAATATTTCCCAACCTGTAGCCAACATGTGTAAGAAGCTAGAGGAGGAGATGGGAGAAAAGAAAAGAAAAATCACGAACCTAAATTTAGGTAAGTAGCAAAACTTTGATTCTCCGTAGATTAATTTAATCAATTTAAGGGGGGGCCCTTTTTAAAAAGTACACTTTCCCATTATGCTTATATTAAGTCATGGGCAAATGAGAGTAATACTGCACCAAACTGTTCTTACCACTGAGCTACAATCCCCCAGGGGTTGGCGCGGGGGGGGGGGGCACGACATTCTTAATGTATCCTTTGGTGTGTTAAAAAATTGAAATAGCTCTAGAATTATTAGTTTCAAAGAAAAATGTTAGAACACTGATTACCAAAAACTAAAGAGAGGCAGGATTAAAGCTACTCACAACCAGGCCAATTAAGTTAAATCTTGACAAGTAATTAAAAAAACAAAACAAAAACCAAAAGCCAAGAGAGCCAGAACTGCCAGTATCTCAGTCAAATCCTTTTTATATATAAACTCGTAAGGTCTTGCCTTCTTTAAAATGTCCACTCATTATCACTAAAGATTTCAAAATATAAATATGCACCATCTACATTTTATTTCTTTAAAGCAGGAAACCTCCCAAATACAAAAGCAGTAAGAGAGAAGCCTCCTTAAGCTGATATATTTTGTTTCTCTTTCTTAGTTATCACTAATTAAAACAAAGGAAACTACTTTGGAGAGGTTGCCAGAATCCCCAGAAGGTATTTCAGCACAAAAAGGGTTAACGCCTAGCTCAGCTGGATAGCCAGTGACCATTTGCAAGCCTCCTAGGTACAGTCCCAGCACAGACGTTATCAGATTAAAGGAATTGCAAACAACTGGTTGAAGCCTTCCTTTGTCCAAACCCAGCCTCTTCTTCCTGTGATGTCATATTACAAATCTAGGAAGCCTTTCTTGCTCACTTCAGAGACAGCCCATCTCACAATACAGCTGGCAACCTCCGAAAGGCCTCCTTCAGCAAGAGCTAACATGCTTAGGAATTTACTTGGGAACCTTTAAAAGACTCTGCCTACCACCACCTGGAATCAATGAAGAACTACCAAAACGGAGAATAAAAAGAAGAAAGAAGTGCCAGAGGACGACGGACTGGGATTATTAAGACTCGGAAGTAAGACTGATAATTTATGACTACCCATTCTGAACATGAGGACATTTTAATTTTGGAATATTCATCTTGACGACTGAAGTACAAGCTAACACGAGGACTGCTGTGTTCAACTTGAAACACAGCTTTTCCTTACGTTTGGGGCTCTATGGGTTGGCTTCCTTGACTGAATTTCTGTCAGTTAACTAAATTCTGGACTCAGTGGATTTTCTGGAGACCAGAAAATGAGACGATTGTCCTGAAGAATCTACTAGAAACTTTTAAGCAACACGTTTCATGCTTCTTTTGAAGATTTCAGAGAAGAAAATATTTGTAAGACCACAAAAAGAAACAAATAATTTTCGAATAAACTGGCTGTTGCTGAGACCACATCTGAATACCAAAGGCGACCGCTGCAGACAAAAGGACTCCCTGTAAGCTGTACAGCCTGACAATGGTAAGCTCCAACGGCTCCCACTGCCCTTACGATGACTCCTTTAAGTACACTTTGTATGGGTGCATGTTCAGCATGGTGTTTGTGCTTGGGCTGATATCCAATTGTGTTGCGATATACATTTTCATCTGTGCCCTCAAAGTGAGAAATGAAACTACAACGTACATGATTAACCTGGCAATGTCAGATTTGCTTTTCGTCTTTACTTTACCATTTCGGATTTTTTACTTTGCAACACGGAATTGGCCATTTGGAGATCTTCTCTGTAAGATTTCAGTAATGCTGTTTTACACCAACATGTATGGAAGCATTCTGTTCTTAACCTGTATCAGTGTAGATCGATTTCTGGCAATCGTCTACCCATTTAAGTCGAAGACTTTAAGAACTAAACGAAATGCAAAGATTGTTTGCATTGCTGTGTGGTTCACAGTGATGGGAGGAAGTGCACCCGCGGTTTTCTTTCAGTCGACCCACTCTCAGGGTAACAATACCTCAGAAGCCTGCTTTGAGAACTTTCCAGCAGCCACATGGAAAACCTATCTCTCCAGGATCGTGATTTTCATAGAAATAGTGGGGTTTTTTATCCCCTTAATTTTGAACGTCACTTGTTCTAGTATGGTGCTAAGAACTTTAAATAAACCTGTTACATTAAGTAGAAGCAAAATGAACAAAACTAAAGTTTTAAAAATGATTTTTGTACACTTGGTCATATTCTGTTTCTGTTTTGTGCCCTATAACATCAATCTTATTTTATACTCTCTCATGAGAACACAGACTTTCGTTAACTGCTCTGTGGTAGCTGCAGTGAGGACAATGTACCCAATCACTCTCTGCATTGCTGTTTCCAACTGTTGCTTTGACCCCATTGTTTACTACTTCACTTCAGACACAATTCAGAACTCAATAAAAATGAAAAATTGGTCTGTTAGAAGAACTGAATCCAGGTTCTCTGAAGTTCAGGGCACCGAGAATTTTATCCAACACAACCTACAAACTTTAAAGAGTAAAATATTTGATAGTGAATCTGCAATATAAGCTGCCTGACTAAACCACTGGGACTGCTCCGTGTTCAACTGTGAAAACTGTGCTCTTGGAAACTGTTTCTCCAGCTCCAAAAGAATTAACATATGGACCGTTACATGTTTTAAAGAAAATCTGTGTCTGATGTGTTACACATTAAAATATATTCTATTCTTGTATGCACTCCATTTTATTTTCTTCAACCAGTTTAATGTGTTCTTTCTTCATTAAAGAACTCTATAAAGTTAGTCTAAAAGCAATTATGATTTAATAATGTGATATCTGCACCTTTAAAATTTTGTATTACACGAAATGATTTAATCAAAAATTTGTTAAATGACTTTAGACTGAACCCAGATGTTGTTTAGGTAATAGTTTGCTAAATATATTTTACTTCTATTTCAATTTAGATTAAAAGTAGTTAATCATGCCTTAAACTGCAAAGAACAAAGAAAACTAATTTGAAATAGCCGAACTTTTTACAGTAGTTTCCCCAAGAGAGCTATTTCAGTCATCTGCATGACATTTTTGTCTTTGTAGGAATTCATAAAAGAGATAGTGTCTAACTATACAGTATATTTTGAAATTACTATTTTGATTTATATTCTGGCTGCAACACCCAATTTCAAGATGATACATACCATAACAATTTAAAGTAAGCAAACCAATAAAATGTGACCTTGCTAGGTAAATTATTTTACAATGTAAAATGTTGCCTGACATTTATTTTGAAAGTACAACAAAAACTTGTACTTTCAGTAATGTTTGTCCAGAAATTACCAGTACAGTACAGTGCAGGACTCTTTAGAAAGTAATATACATCCTCTCTCATTTTAGGTCAAATATTAAGTGACTGAAATGTTATTTCAAGTGAAAGCAATGTTAACCTGAAATGTATTAGTAAGGACACAGTTCCTTACATAGAAAGCCATAAACCTGGAAGACCATATAACTAACTACACACAGCTACATTTGCTTTTACAAACCTAGAAAAAGCATGACCTTCAGCTGGATTCAGAGAAAAGTACCAGCTAATAAAAACTCATTTTTCAACATACCCTCTCAGAATTTCCAAAGTTAACTGAAAAAGAAAGTTTTCATTTTAGAAAAATGATATGTAATTAAATTCTGCAATCAGCCTGCATGGTAAAAAACCACCTTAATCTTTGAAGTTTGACATCTATTTTGTAATGTGTAAATTTACTTTTTTCTGGGTTTAGGCTGCAATGATTTCAGACAAATCATAATCATTTTCTATCTAAAGCAAGTCTTCTTGTAATAAATAACAGTATGAGGAAGTTTTCTTTAGAGACCCAGTGTTTTCTATAGGTAAAACTATGGGAAAATAAACCCTTAACAAGAAACAAAGTGGTGAAGAAGTCAAGCATATCCTAAAAGAAGCATGTGCATGTTACACATGTGCTTGTGCTCATACATGCTGAGCACATGGCTACTTCAGTTGCCCTGTGGTTCCTGTTGCTGGTATCACCCCAAAGGAAAGAAATTCTTTTAGCAGTCTTAAACACACGTTGAGCTGAAAAGCAGCTAGCAGTCTCCTGATCAAGAGGAAAGGATCGTGGAGCTTGGTTTCTCATAACTTTACCCCCTCAGGGAAAATGAGAAAACCCTCAGGGAGATCTCAAAGGATGACTCTTACTTTAAAATACTAGAAAGATGGTCATTAAATAACTGTTAGTAGTAGGCTCAGTGGAGTTTTTATTGTTCTTGTGTAAACAACATACATGAATCAAAAGTTTTCTAAGATTCTTTTATTTATTTATTTATTTATTTATTTATTTATTTATTTATTTATTTTGAGACAGGCTTTCCTGAAACTTGCTCTGTAGACTAGGCTGGCCTTGGACTCTGAGATCCTCCAGCCTCTGCCTCCCAAGTGCTTGATTAAAAGCATTACCACTACCTGGCAAAATTTGTAAGATTTAAAAAAAAAAAAGAATTTAAAATGCTGACTAAACTTACCTACCTGGACAAAGGAGTATTAGAACAAAATTTATTTTTCTTTGAGAGTGATATAATATGAGGTAAATTACTTATTTTAGGGTTTTCTATTTCCTCTTCACTCACAAACATATTAATATTAAATCACTGAGAATTTTACTTTTATTAAAGTAACAGTATCTAGTCCTCCCATCCCTGTCCTCAAATTCCTTTTCAACATCTTCAAAAAGGGGCATATGACAGAAACAATCTTCTCACGTTGCCTTCCTTCAAAAAACAGTAAGGCCAGAATCCTGTCATGGAAGACAGCTTTATGGCACCCTAAAAACTGCCTCCAAACTTGGAATTTAGCTTTTTTGAGAAAACAAACCAAATAAATAAATAGTCCACAATACATATTTATAATATAATATATAATATAATAATATATAATAATATAAATATATATATTATTACACATTGTCTTTCCACAGAAAAATAAAATCAAGATACTATCAAAGTTATCAGCAAGTCTTAATATTTACATTCAAAGTATTAACAATAAATTTGAAGTATAAATCCTAATTATAGTACTGATCATTAAGAAACTGTCCACTCATTTGGGGAATAAAACAGAAAAGAGAGCAAAATTCATGTTTTCAATTCAGAAAGAATGATTTGTGGATAGAATAGCTACAGAAAATGCCTTTTGGTTATGTGTGGTGGAACCCCAGTGAGCTTTATCTTTTGCCATATATTAAATTATTAATGCCTAGAAAAATCCTTGCTACTTTTTCAGCACCTGAACTTTTTTAATGCCTATAGGCCAATATAACTCCACATATACATGAAAGAAGGTAAGACCTGCTATTCTTCATTAAAATGAGATTTTGCATTGAGACCATGTTATAAAAGCCAAGTGATTATGGCACACACCTGTAATCCCAGCACTCAAGAGGTAGAGGCAGAGGCAGAGGCAGAGGCAGGCTGGTTCTCTGTGAGTTTGAGGCCAGCCTGGTCTACAGAGAGATAGTTCCAGGACAGCCACAGCTATTACACAGAGAAACCCTTTCTCAAAAAAACAAAAACAAAGCAACCAAAAAATGTGCTTAGATAGGAACAAAATTTCAAAGCAATACTAAAATAACTAGCTCTTGTAGACTAGGCTGGTCTCGAACTCACAGAGATCCACCTGCCTCTGCTTCCCAAGTGCTGGGATTAAAGGCATGAGCCACCACCGCCCAGAAAAATAACCTGTTTTTAAAAAGCTCTTTTGAGCTAGCCTGAAAACTGAATTACCCATTGGTAACATGACTTCTAAAATGTTCTAAATTCAAAAGGACTAATTAAAAAATTTATGGGCTATAGAACATATTTAAATTGACCAATTACTTGGTGATTAGCAATATGGCTCAATCAGCAATATTTTCCAGAGACAACTTATACATATTCATGTAAGTATGAATTTTCAAGTTCTATTTTATCTTACTATTTTTATTCACTATCTAGTTTTTGTTTTTGTTTTTCTTGGGGGGGGGGTTATGAGACAGGGTTTCTCTGTGTAGCCCTGGCCCTCCTGGAACTCGCATTGTAGACCAGCCTGGCCTGGAACTCTGCCTCCCAAGTGCTGGGATTAAAGGCATGCGCTAACACCGCCTGGCTATCTAGTTATTTTTAAAGATGATTTTTTTGGTATTGTTAACTCTGTGTATGTATGTGTGAGCATGCATATGTGTTAGATCCCCTGAAGCTGCAGTTACAGGTGCTTGTAGGCACCCAATCTGAATACTGGTAACTGGCCCTAGGTTCTCTGCAACAGTAGTGTGTTCTCTTAACCTCCGAGCCATCTTTCCAGCCCCTGTCTATTTTTTATAAAAGAAGAGTGAAGAGTACCACAAGGTTAACAATAGAATAGAAAATTAACTCTAGGCAAACCCTCCTCTTACCTATTTGCTTATGTAGTAACTACACTATTTATGTGTTTCTAATAAATACCATATGTACACACACACACACAGAGAGAGAGAGAGAGAGAGAGAGAGAGAGAGAGAGAGAGAGAGAGAGAGGGAGAGAGAGAGTGTCTTTTCCCCTCACAGTGGCAGCACATTTAATTGTCTAAAAGTTCAAAAAACAACAGCAGACTTTCTTTGGTCAATATGATACAAACACAAAAATTCAATTTTGCAGTTACAACCTTAACTCTTACTGTACTTGTTTAATCTTTTAGGTAAGGTCAAACAACTGCTTTAACAAACAAACAAACAAACAAACACTTTAAGGGCTGCATGTTGGATCAGTGGGGTTAAAGAGCTTGCCAGGCAAGCCTGAGGACCTACAATGGGTCATTGAAATCTACCTAAAGGTAGAAAGCAAGACCACTCCTGTGTAATATGTATATCCCTCATCTTTACTGTCTTGTTCTCACCTGGATCATCTATTTCCTAGGCTTGCTACATCCTTCCTTTTTCTTTTTTCCTCTTTTTCCCCCTCAGGGTTTATGATATCCCCTTCTTGTTGTCCCTTTCTAATTTTTCTAAAGTATATTCTCTAGTAATTTCATGTCAAAAAAGATACACAGAAAGTACACCCCCATGTCCTTCTATGTCTGAAAACTCTCCTCCTGTCTGATAAAGAATACCAGGCTGTCAAATATCCAGTACTCTTGATGAAAACTGCACTGATGATCTGCATCTCATTCTCCATAAATAATTAATTTTTAACTTTCTCATTAACTTAACTCTGTTTTTTTTTTTTTTTTTTTTTTTTTTTTTTTTTTTTTTTTGCTTTGTTTTTTTGAGATAGGATTTTTGTCTGTATAGCCCTGGTTGTCCTGGAACTCACTTTGTAGACCATGCTGGCCTCGAACTCACAGAGATCTGCCTGCCTCTGCCTCCCAATTGCTGGGATCAAAAGCATATGCCACCACTGCCTGGCTTTAACTCTGATTTTTGATCAAATGTATACTCCTCGTCATGCTTGGCAGACCAAGTGGACCTTTTCTGTCTGAAGCCTCCATGTTCTCATTAGCTTTGGAAATCTTTCTTCCATTATTATTATTGTTATTATATTCTTTCCTTGTTTTTTCCCTAATCTTTACTGGAGCGAATAAAGGAAAAAGAACCAAGTACTCCTTGATATCAAGATAAGAAGCCATGTAACCTAATCCAATAGCACAAATGTTTCTTGTATTTTCTCTCCAGGAAAAATTATCTCTGCACCCCTAGCACACTCAATCTGTTACAGAAGTCTC